AATAGGTATTTATCAGTTTTTATTATCTAATTAAATAAACAAAGTTTTCCGCTCTACGCATCGAAAACGCTCCAAATCCAAGAGTTATCGTTGTAATAAAATAGTTGTAGATTACATTGACAAAACTATTCACGAAGTTTCAGGCGGATGCTAATAATTTGATAAAAAGGGGTCTGAACCACGGACTACTGAGCGAATATATTGTGTCCAAACTCAGACCGAGTAGAAAAGGTATTAGTTAGTTGTTTATCAAAGGGCCTTATTAATATTATCTTTGGGTTAGTTATGCATTTTCTTAATAATTAACATCTTAGTTAATGATATTAACAAATTTCCCGTCATAATTTCGATCTTCATTTTTAGACTTTTGTCCCTCTAGATTAACAAACGGCATCACGGTGTGCCGTTTGCCATTTCACAAATTTGCTTCCAGAGCCTCGGATTTATCATTTACCAGATGCAAAATGTCGCGTTCTAGGAAGGAAATATGACATCAGGTTTGTCGGTTGCCGCTCCTGCATCGATGATCGCACATGAGTCCACATTACTTTCTGTCAATATTTGTTTCAAATCGGTGTATTTTTCTTTTGTTAAATCGCTTACGTTCCAAAAGAGAGCTTTGAATTGAGCCTTGCCGAAGTCTTTAAAAAGCGAGAGAATTTGGCTGTTATTCATAGGAGATGGGCATGCTATCGCTTTGTATATTGGACAAAGAGATAAATGTGATTGTATAATCACCGTGTTTACGAGTTATCCAGAGAGCACCTGGACTAACAGTTCACCCTTTAAATAGCTTTTTTATTCAATAAAAAAAGGATCTTTCCAGTATTCTCGGAGAAACTGCGCAGACGGCGTAGGGGGGACGGACAAAAAAGTTGTATTCGATTTTGGAATTCTACGTATCCTGGAAGTTACAGGTTTTACAGTTTAACGTTTTTTGGACGATTACAATGGTTCATTATGAAAATAATAAAGCAAAACTATATAGTTTATGCTTTTAAAACAAATGCTCAACATATATATCTACATAAAACATATAAAAACTAAAAACATAATTAAACATAAATAGCCAAAACTGGCTAAGTTACTGTTCAAGAAAATTAAAATAAGATAGTTTAGACACAATCACCCACACATCCACGACTGGCAGATATTATTTAGTTATTCAGATTTTTTCTTCGTAATTTGGATTTTAAATTGTCTTTCTTACTTAATTACTAACTTAATTCTGGTGTCCCAACGTGGGATACTCCTACAGGTCAGAGCTGAGCATCACACATCTCTATCCTCCCAGTCCCTCTCCTGTAGACCTCGGCCGGCCATCTCTTCTCGGACTCCTTTCATCCACGTGGTTTTGGGTCGCCCTCGCCGACACCTTCCGAGTGGCTGCTAGTCCAGGACACTCTTCGGCCAATACTCTTCCGGCATTCTCCTGCAGTGCTCATACCACCTTAACCGCCGTTTCCCAATCCTATCAGAGACTCTACATCTATTATCTGTCTCACCATTTCAATACAGACTCTGAATTGAGCCTTGCCGAAGTCTTTAAAAAGCGAGAGAATTTGGAGGTACTCGGAGGTACTGTCTCGTTAATTGGAGGTACTTTGTCGAAAAATCCACAGTCTGAACTTTGCATACAAGTTAGCATTCATCGATAACCTTACATAGTCGGTTAATATGGACTATAGCTGTGACTCGACAATAGTTGTGAAGATACACAGCTTGTTTACGTTTGAAAAGGTGTTGTTCCAGAAAAAAGGATGCAGCATTCTAGTTGCTTTCCTTGCTAGCTCTACTTTGTTTCGGACGCCCCCTAATCGTCCAGTTAGGACCCCAGGTATATAAAAGCCTGTTACTCTTCCGTACACCTGATCACCTAGATCGTCTTCCTCATCTTCTAGTGCCATATACTTAGTCTTTTAGAAATTGATCCTGAGAACTGCCTCTTCATCAATTTCCTTTAACTGGGCAACCACCATCTTCAGGAATTTCCTGGAGAAATTGTAGTTCGGGACCTTAAAAACTTACTTGCATACTTATGTTCTTTTCTACAAGTGGGAAAACATTGATAGAGAAAATCTATTTATACATCATTGAAGATAATGAGAAACAGTTTCTATAAAGAGTTAGAACAGTTCTCCTCAAGAAAGTACCTCAAGAACTTTAGAGTTTTATTAGGTACATTCAACACCACGGTCATCATAATCCCTCTATTCTTCTATTTTTTTTTTGGCAGAGTATACTATTAACAGAACAGACCTATTGTATTTATTGGTATGGATTTACGTTAAAAACTCAGATTATAAAATTTTCATGATGGCAATACTTTCCCTTGTTATATATATTATATATAAGTAAAAAAAAGTAAAAATTATCAACATGGTTATTGAGAAATTTTTTCAAGGGATTATTGGAAAATTCGAATACATTTCCTGGTCTCTTCTCATACAGAAGAAATTTCTCAAACAATTCCTACTTTTCCTAGTAATAGTCGCTGGACACCCTGATTTCAAAAGTTTCAAAAACGAGTATTAACCAGATATGAATAGGATTGAATCTAGAGGATTCCAAAGCTCGCAAGAAAACATAAAAGAATCTTGAAAATGTAGGAAATGAATTATAACCATAAAAGCAAGAGGATTCAGAGATCGGAGTTAGTTAATGTTGTTTTTTTTTTAGTTAATGAGTTCGAAGTTAGCTCTTTCAAAGAAAGGTCTTGCTATAAAGAAAGCTAATTTTTGACAAGAATTGCAAATATAAATGGAAAATTAGTAATAACAGTCTTAAAATTTGAGTTGTTTATCAAAACCGCTCGACAAAAATAAAAGATGTAGGCGTTGATGACCTGAGGATTTTACGCCTGTAAACAACAATAAACAATAAATAAAAGATAGTAAAAAGTTGATCATAAAGCAATAAGATACTTATTATTTGAAAACATTTACACCTGAAAAAAAATCACAGCACTTGCATAAGCAATGTTATATATATATATATATATATATATATATATATATATATATATATATATAATATATATATATATATATATAACACTGCTTATATAAGTGCTGTGATTTTTTTTCAGGTGTAAATGTTTTCAAATAATGAGTATCTTTATATATATATATATATATATATATATATATATATATATATATATATATATATATATATATATAAACTTTATGTTTTTAAATTTTTTTTTCTTTTTTAACTTATTTATTGAAAAATATTACAATCTTTCTCAAGGACATTTGTAATAGTGTTCACAGATCACATTCACACTCTATGTACAATAAATAAAATAAATTATACAGAAAAATAATATATATACAATAAATAAGAATAAAATAAACTAAAAATAAATGAATAAAAAGAATGCATACATACCTATATACAATATTCACAATCTGGCGAGAGAACTCCAACCCAGACTTGTCTCTCCAACTGTGGAGTGAAAAGCATGACTCCAGGAGATCCCTGCACTTCTCTCTCAACCGCGTCACTGGGGCTAAACCCAGTGGAGATTGAGCAAGACTGCTTCATCCACATACACTCATGTCGTGAGTGGAGAATCTGGCCATTGCCAGAACTCCAATATTTACAAACTATAAAAGGTCGCGGGGCCACTGCCGTTTTAACCTCCTTTGAGGATTATATGGATGAGTGGTGCTGGATAGAGATTGAGCAAAGGGATTTGGATGATGGGTAACGTTCTGGTGGGATTTGGAGAATTTTGCTAGGGTAAGGTCTAGGACAAATGGGATATTAAGGTCATAGAAAGGAGCATCGACTATTGTTCGAAGGACTTTGGATTGGAAGGATTGGATGCGTTTGATGTTAGAAAATTTTGCTGTTCCCCACAGTTCAAGTCCGTAAGTCGAGATAGATTTCAGTATTGTCTTGTAGATCAGTAACTTGTTATCAACGGAAATTTTAGATTTTCTGTTTAGTAGTCGGTATAGTTGGCCGTATCAGCGGTTTTGTTCCTGTCTTTTAAGTCTAGTATGAGGGTTCCACGTTAGTCGTCTGTCTAAGAGAAAGCCAAGGTACCGGACTGTGTCTGAGAAAGGAAGCTGGATGGAATTAAAGTGTTTGGATTCGTTTACGTTAATACGCCATTTATTATACCAGTGCTCAATCAGAGAGAGGTGTCTTTGAAGGTTTAAGGATGCTATATCAGGATCTGAGTCGGATGATAGAATGGCGGTGTCATTAGCAAAAGTTGACAGAAAGGTATCGGGATGGACAGGGATATCGGCAGTAAAGGACGGGACCTAATACGCTACTTTGAGGAACACCTGCCTCAATTGGATAGCAGAAAATTCAGTACCGCAGCGAACTTGGAAGGTACGATCTGAGAGGTAGGCACGGAGGACAACGTATAAGGACTGAGGAAGATGGTTTTTAAGTTTGAAAAGAAGCCCGGCGTGCTATACCCGGTCAAAAGATTCAGCTATGTCCAGAAATGCCCCGTGCAATATTGCTTGCTTTCCACGGCTGCGGAAATATGAGTCCTTAAAAGTCCTTGTTGGACTGTCGAGTGTTGGGAACGGAATCCGAACTGATTTGAAGGAAGATTTTGAGATTCTATAAAGGGCAGGATTCTTTTCAGGAGTTTCTTTTTAAGAATTTTTGAAAGGTTTGGAAGTAGGCTAATGGGTCTGTAGGAAGTTAAGCTATAGGGAGGTTTGCCTGATTTTGGGAATAGGATAATATTAGAATGCTGCCATAAAAAAGGAAAGTGGGTGGTTCGTAGGATGCTATTTTATATGTATGTAAGAAATATGACAGCTTTAAGAGGGAGTTGTCTAATGTTTTTAAATTAAAATCTTAATAACTTACTATCTAGAGGTTCTATTGACTTCGTTTTTGTGTTCATCACAAATCATAAGTTACTAAGTGGGTTAAATTTATGTTTTGAGTGCATTGAATATTCAATTATTTTTAGAGTATGAAAATTGGGTTAAATAAAAGAACATGAAAATAATACTTACCGACTCGTCAAGGTTAAAATATTGACGCCCTACAAGCTTTAAACCCATGTCGCCTAGGCTGTTGCGAAGCATAATATTGAATAATTGAATATATTGATAATCTCCAATTCGTAGCTCATTAGTAAATTTTACAGTTATGGCAATTTTTGTTTGATCTTTCGATCTAGGAGAAAAAAATGTTAATTCCTGAAAAAAATAAATAATTATACAAGGTATTCTTAAAAATTTAGCAACATAAGTGAAGTAATACTAACAGTATTCTGTGGGCTATGCAGCCTATTACGGACAAACAGCATTGTTCCATCAAATAAATAAGCATTTCCTAGCGCTTCCCTATGAACCGCTAATAGACCTTTACGAACCCATGTTTTCTCTTCATTGGGATTCATATCCACATGATATTGATATAAAGACCAATCAGTTGTTTTGGTCAATCTGAAGTGGTTAGTTATTAGATTAATCGGTTTTCCACTAGTACCTAAAATAAACCAAAAGAAATTAAATAAACAAAAATAAAAAAAATCAATAATTTATTTTAAGAAATACACCTAAAAACAAACTATATGACTAAAGGCTCATTTACACGGTGCCAGTCGCTGGCGACAGTCACTGGAGCCAGTCGCTGGCATTCCAGTCGACTGGCGCATTACGGTTAAAGCTCCTTTACACGGTGCCAGTCGCATTCCAGTTGACTGGCGCATAAAGTTTACACATTCCCGTTAATGTAGAACGATTCGATATGTTATGCGGGTCTTTAAAATACGTATTTATTTAGTTTCTACAAATGGCCGAAAAACAGTACAATTTCGCAATTCAGAAACCTATCCAGCAAAAGTTTTCAAACATTAAATGATAGGTGGCAAAAAAACAACAATTCTTTCCGACATATTTTTTGATCCTCAAAAAAGTACGGGCATCGTTGTAAATAAAGGAGAGCTGGAAACTACGGTGCTCTCCCTTGAGAATGGTGAGTACATAAAAACATTGAGGAATGGAGAAACGATTAAGTATTTAGGATGTACATTCTCGGGAGAGCTACAATTCAACGAAGATTCGGTGACTAAATTGAATGATAATTTAAACAAGCTGGTAACCTCTTGCTTACTCAAACCTGAGCAGAAACTCAACGTTGTCAATATATATCTGTTCCCGGGTCTTACTTACCCTCTCCAAACTGCGCCCCTAACAAAGCTGCGTCCTGCTATCCTGGAGGGCATCGACATTATGATTCGCAGGAGCGTAAAGGCCATTATTGGACTCCCTGCGAATACTTCCAAAGCGATGTTGTAAGCCCCCAGGAGATACCGAGGATTGGGATTAATCCGCTGCCAATGGGAGGCTCCTCTTCAACATTGGTCCATTGCTCAGCGACTGTCCAATGCACTAGATGCCCTTTTTCAGTCTACCTTCGATTATTCGGCTGAAATTACTGAATGTGCCGAGAGATTGGGGGTTGATCAGGGTCATCGAAATGCGAAAGCTCTACGGCAGTCGCTCCGAGAAAATGCATTTGAGGAATGGGCCAACTGCAGGTGGCAGGGTATTGGTGTTCGCCATTTTAAAGAGACCCCGAAAGCGAATAGATACATCTATGAAAAGCAAGTACTTTCTGGGTCTGAATGGTCGAATGCCCTAAAACTAAACATTAATTATGCACCCCTACGTGGAGTCTCAGGAGTCAGCGGACAGGTCGGAGAAGTTGGGTCCTTCTGCCGTAAATGCGGCAGAGAGTCTGAAACACCAGCCCATGTGCTGGGAAAATGCCCCAACAACTCCCTCCTCATAACACGTCGTCACCACCGGGTCAAGTTCGAGTTGATGAGGCTCCTTAGGGAAAGGAAATTCACCTGCTTTGACGAGGTATATTGCATCGATAGTGAAGGCTCTACGAGATACGCGGATATCGTCGCATTTCCCAAGACAGGAAGGACAGCGCTGATCTTGGATCCAACTCTCCGCTTTGAGAGCAATGACCTCGATCAAGCGGGTGAAGTGGAAAGGGAAAAGAAGAACACGTACGATAAATGTATCCCTTTTCTAAAAGATAAATTCCGTGAGACCTTCGGAGAGAGAGAGTTCACCGTGAGAGGCCTCTGGTTTGGGTCTCGCGGAACTATCCCAAAAAGAACAAGGAGCTTCCTCGAGGAACTAGGTGTCGACATTAAGGACGCAGCGAGGTTGGCTGAAAATATAGTCCTCGACTCCCTGGGAATCATTCACCACCACGTGCATGGCTAGTTTTTTTTTTTTCTTACCCTTCAAAATGTTTATTGAAACAATTACATATATAGTATACAATAATACAATATATACATGCAATAAATTCCTTCCACTGCCCGAGGGCATAATGCATGGCTAGACCGAGAGTTTTAATTTATGTATTTATTTATTTATTTAATGAATAATTGAAAACAATAGAGATAACGAGAGAGAAGTGAGAGAAAGGGAAACTAAATGTTAAAAAAAAAAAAAGAAGCATAAACAATGAAAGGATGGAAAAAGAAAAAAAAATGGAAAAAAAAATAATAAAAATGTATATATATATATATTTTACTAATATTAACTAAGACTTCTGTATATTTATATATAAGTTCACATATTGTCCTAAGGATAGAAGAGTATGCTGTGTGTATAGCAACCCAATATAATTGGGCAGCAATCCTTTATATTTTATATTTTATGAAAATAAAGTGTTTCTCTCTCTGAACACCCAATTATAAATTCAACACAAATCTTATCAATATTTTAAAAATTGTTAGCATAACAACAAAAACATACTTTTATATAACAAATTAAAGTATAAAATAATAATTTTAATGTAGCAAGAATTTTCATTTTACCAGGATATTAATCTTTAGCCCGAACGGTTATTATTCAAATGAACATAGAACTCCTCTCCAGAGTCCAGATTTGAATCGCATTTTATGGTCATAAGTCGATTAATAGCTCAGAAATCAAAATATATGGAAAACCCTATTCGACTTCAAAGAAGATCTAATCAATGCCCAATTGGTACTCTAAAACGAAGAAATGTATCCAAAATATTAATAATTTAAAATCGGTTTGTAAAATAAATTATTGTATAATACAGCTATGTACAAAAAGTTTTACTGCATTAAAATTCTTATTTTATACTTTAATTTATATTAAAAATATATGTACTTACTGTTAGGCAAATATTTTTGGGTAAATTCATACGATTGGTATTGAAGTTATTAATATACGTTTAAATTTAAAAAATCTATATAAAGGAAAGAATACTTCTTACTGATTTTTATATCTCGTATCATACCGTGTATGAAAATGTTTTCTGACCATTGTATATGAAGAGCATTTAGAAGTAAGTAACAATCAGAAGTGAGAAGTAACAATTCAGTGCCCTCCATTCTCTCAGCCTTTAGCCATTATCTTATATTATCCTACAACTCTACCATATATACCCAGTTCTCGGAGTCCTGGCTCGATCTGATTTCTTAGACAAACTCCTTCCTGCATTCCAGCACCCGATCCCGTTTCTAACTTACCACGGTCTTATCCAGATTTCTTACAATATTCCTATCCTATCCTTTTCTTCTCGATCGATATCCTTCCGAAACCTAAATTCTCTCACTCACGAAACATTGTCAAACGATCTTGACGATATTCAATGGGATCGTATTAACTCCTCAAAATCGATCGACACCATGGTAGAAACCTTAAGCACTTAAGAAAGAGATGCTGCAAGGCAACGGTTTAAACGAACTCGAGTTCCTGAAGATTTTCTATCCTTCGAGCAGTTTCGAAACAGTACTCAATCAGCAGTACGCTGTACCAAATCCAGTTAATACTATCATTCCTTATCTAACTTCCCTAATACCAATGCCACTTGGTCTATTCTTAGAAAACTGACCATTGGTAATACACCTCAGTCCCAGTCCATTTCCGTTTCTGCTGATAACCTCTACGCTCACTTTGTATCCTGCCCTTTAGCAACCACATCACGTCCAGTCCGGCTCCTATGTTTTCCTCTTTTAATACTGATCACTACTTTTTCTCCTACATTATTCCTGATGATCTTCTTAACTCCATTCAGAAGTCCCATACAAACGATTATGGTTCTGATTTTTGTTGTGAATCCTAATAGCCCCCCATCAGAATCTCCACCCTTGTCCAGAGGTATTCCCCAATCTTCTCCTGAACAACTCCCCTATCTTATTCCATACTACCGTTAAAAACCTAGGTGTTACTTTTGATTAAACCCTCTCCTGGAAACCACACATCTCCCAAATTTCTCTTCGCAATCTGCTCCCTAAACAGTTCAATCGCCTATGTTATCTCCTTCCTTCCATATAAATCCGTCAACTCCTAGTTACCTCCCTTGTTTTCCCCCACTTCGACTATGGCTGTATGATGTACGGTGGACTCTCGGGAGATGGCTTCGCAATCTCCCGCAATCTCCTTAAACGCCTAATGACTTTCCAATTACGTTTTATTTTCGGACTCTCAAGAGATGCGCCAGTATTACACCGAGTTGAAGTGGCTCTATCCATCCTATCGCCGTCTGTACTTCCTAGCTACCTTTCTGTACCAAATCATTAGAACTCATCGACCCTCCTATTTTTTCACTGTTTACAATTTAAAACTTCATCCAATCCGTCCCACTAGTTCTGATACTTCCGACCTCTATTCTCCCCCTCACCAAACGGTTCTGTTAACATTCTAATTGACTTTAAAATCGATCTAATCAATGACCAAATGGTAATCTGAAACGAAGGACTGCATTTAAAATATTAATAATTTATCGAAGTAATTTAAAAATTTTGTGTGAAATAAATAAATTACATTTATGAAATAATAAATGAATTACATTTGTTACAATGGAAAATATCATGTAGCCGAAAGGCAAGGAAGGGAGGAATAAATAAATAATCGACTATTATAAGTTATTACCCTCCATTTTAAGCTATACCTTTAAGCGTTCTTTGTCATTCACCATCATCTTCTACGATTTATTTACTTAATATAATATTCTCTAAAATCTTAATCTTCCGCCCATACAGATAGACATTGTCATAATTAAGATGCTTTTTATCTTTTCTGGTTTCGATTTGGCATATAAGTGCCATACAAAATAAGAACAAATCTTTATCGTTTAAAAGTGTTAAATGTTATGAATAAATACAGACAGATTAGTTATAAGCGATTTAGAACTAAAATAAAACACCTTATTGCAGTGTAATCTATTACTGATATCCACAATTTGCTAAGCTTATATTACGAATATTGGCGTTCGTACAGGATATATTATTTTAAAATTTTGGTAATATTTCCTTCAGCTGATTTATAGTTAGGCATAGGTTTTCATCAATCATAAAAAAAAAGGTATTTAAATAAGTATTTTGGACAATTTGTTTTGCTGGTTAATCATACCTTGCCGAGGGTAGGGGCTTGCCAGTGTGCCAGTCAAACAAAAATATTTGCTCTACTGGCATGTGCCAG